CACACAGAAATCTTCTTGCATGACTTTATTCGTTATGAAACTGATCCTTCTTCACCGTAGGCTGTTGAACTCTTAACCAGATTCAGCTAGGCAATTCCTCTGTTTTCTTGAGACAAAAAAAGGGCATTCAGCTTCATCTGGGCTCATTTTATCTCAACCTCTACAAGGTATTGTCAAAAGCATCGTCAGGTGCTGTTACACAAAGTTTTCCCAAATTGTTTAAGGCAATCAATTTGGATTTGAACTCTTCTCCCTTCTTTGACTTCTGGCCTCTCACCCAAGGGAAGTCTAAATTCATTGTCCAAGGTAAACCTTTTCCAAGGATTTGTGAGCGAAAAAATGGGAAGTTCAAAACAACATTGCAAACAGTAGCTGCTGACATCTTTGCCAGATCTCAAAGTAGCATAAGATGTTCTGTGAACTGCAATTTCCAAGTAAATACTCTCAAAGTTGTATACCAATGATAAACTCCGGGATTTCTTCATGTGTTTGCACTCTTAAAGGTAATTAGATTTATTCATCACCTACAAATGTCACCTAAACTCTTCCTTTCTCAGCTAAAAAGGCTCCATACACAATTAAGGAGAAGAATCATTAAGTCTTAATTAAGTCTTAAGTTCCCATCACATGGTTTTCTCTCCTACATGGAGTAGTGTACTTTATGCAAGCATCTGATTCAAAATTGAGTCATTCCTAAATGCTTACAGAAACATACTGATTAACTCAAAAACCCCTTTTTTCTAAGGTATTTTAATTCACAGGTGTGACATATTCAGTTATCTATAAAACAAAGTAGAGCCACACGTGTTGGCAACATCACCATCTCCCTATAGGAGTGTGCTCAGACTAGAGTGGAAGGAGAACATTCTGAAAACCTTTTGACAAGATCTTACCAATTCTGGTGAGGAAACAACAGGAAAAGCAAGATGTTTCCCCTCCACAGAACCAAAGTATTCGGTTTTTATCTGAGTCTTCCAGACTATATCCAACAACCCTTTTCTAACAAGGAAGTTAGAAAGCATTAATTTAAGTTGTATCTGCATAAGACAGTACCCAGCATTTTTTCTGTTATCTTAATTATTCACTTTATTCATTTTGGCTTCACTTCCTCACTATAACATACAGTACACATGACCAAGCACATTTGCTCATTTTTATTTTTTTCAGGTGAAACACTGAGTGATTGGGGTACAGCAGATATGCTTTTGTTTGTGCATGCTAGAAAATCCTCACAAACATAATTAAAGTTTCTTAAGTGTATGTATGTATACATATACACACACAGACACACGCACATAAAACCAATAGACATTATTGGCAACGTCTCTATAGGAAGAAAACAAACCCTAAAATTTTATTGCTGGTTTGCTATTTCTGAAAAAGGAAATATTTTTATACTGTCGTATACCAATTCTTCTACCAAAGATCTTTTTTTTTTTTTGCGTTAGCTTTTATCAACTTATTCTGTCAATATTGCAGACTGAATTACTATCTATGATGTCTTGAGTAATGTAAAAAAATTTTAAAAGTAATCAGGTTAACTGTAGTCTATTTGTAAACCAGCAGAGAGCAAGAGTGGTCATAACCACTGCAATCACTTTTTCAGTAACTTCCCTGAAAACCAAACAGTACATGCTGGGTTATCAGACGGTAAACTGCGAAACGCCCTGCTTGTTACCTGAGGAGTGAAAAGTAGATACAGTGCTCTATATTCAACTCAATAAAATATTGAAGTGTATGCAATTTATTGTGCAACTGTGAAACACATACATCCACTGAACAAAACCAGACCATTATATTTAAGGTAAAAATTTACTTCTGAGGAAGAAAGTTATGTGGCTGCTCTCTCCTCTCCAGAAATGGTGGCTTTTAGCTGCTAACTTGAGTTCATGCCCACGGTCCCACCCCACACAGACATAATCAGACCACAGTAACAGAAAAACTACTAATTGATGCCCTGATGTTAACCAATTACCAACCAACATGAAGAATACAGCCCTGACTTTCCCCATTCATTGGGAAGCAGTCTTGTTGAAATGAAAATCTGCAATTCCTCCTGGCTAGTTCCTTTGACTAGCTATAAAAACGTGACTTCCAGAACAACAGATAATATAGAAGGAAAACTACCACCCAACAAATTTAGTTTGACCATCAGTCAAATCCAGCATTTAATAATCCTCAGGTATGACTCCCATACCACCATCTCTAGCAACTGCAATGAAGATATTTTTCCAACAATCAATTTAAAATTGAATTTCCTAGAAAGAAGTTATTGTTGAGAACTCTTGTAGCCAATTTAGAAACCTGAGTATTCATTGCCAGTTACAGAACTCTGGGATTAAGATGCCAACACTGAGTTTAAAACTTTTAAGAAGAAACAGTAGTGGTCTTAAGAACTAAATGCTAACAAACTTTACTTTGGTAACACTAGTTGAAGTTGCAAGTAAAAATAATATTATGAAACAGAAGTGATTATTAAAAAAAAAGAAAAGAAAACCACAAACAAAAAAGCAGTAGCTTCCTGAAAATAGAGTAATGCCTTTAAAATTCAATGCTCTTCAAATCTACCAATAAAATACTGGGTTACGAGCTTATTAATAAAATACTGGAAAAAGAGAACTGCTCAGATTATTAGCTGGACTTCCTGAAAGACATTCAGCTTCTTCACAAAACATCATTGACAGAAAAAGAAAATAATGCTGAACAACAAAACGTAGCTAAGCAAAATACAAAACGGCAATAACGCTTCAAAACTGTGGATGATAGCCAGTATATTGTCATCTGCAAAACAAGTAAGCAATGATCGTTGCAAAATATTTAGAACCACAGAGTCGAGTTAGTGGATAATAGAAGAAAGTTAGAGTGAAACTTCACAAACACCATGAAGGAAGCATACCCATGCGTCACTGATGTTCAGTATGCAGCTGGGGGCGGGGAGAGAAGCCAACATTCAGATGGTTTAGTCTGCCTCAGCTGCAGAAGAGACCCTTTTCAGTCCAGTTTTTGCCCCAAGGAAAGAAGAGCCGGCTGGCTCAGCTGGCTCCTCTCACATGCTGTCTCTTGCTCATATGGGTGAACATTTTTCAGCCATCGCTCTATGTGGCAAAATCCTTCTGGAGTTACCAGGGGAGGGCAGGGAGAATATCCTAAAAATGAGGTCTAATCTGATTCCCACAATTTCTCTCTACCCACAGTCTGATAGGACAATACTAAACCTCTTTTGCTTAAAACAATTAAGGAAACACTGATCAGGACTCAATTAGCATTGCAGAGAAAAAGAAAACATTTTACTGATAAAAAAAAATACCCACAACATTTCTGTAAATTAATCTAGTGATATGGTGAGAGATGGGGCTGAATTACGTAGTGACTTTGAAAGAAACTCCACAAAGTAGCAGGAGCCTTAAGTCAAAGAGCAATGCTGCAACAGGCCACAATCCTGAAGTGCAAAAAAAAAAAAAAAACCAAAAAAAACCACCAAACTGACTATAATATGGCAACTCTGAAGACTGCCACAGCAGCTGACTCCAGAGGGAAGTTATAGCCAAAGAATTTTTTTGGGCCTCCTAGCAACATTCTTTGCTGTCATCTGACACCACAGTTGATCTTGCTAAAAGTTGGTGCCTGTGCCTGAACAAGTAGGGGCAAGAAGAAAGGGTGTGAAAATCTTTTTCCTGATTAGTCATGATCTGTCTGATGCACAATCATAAGGATGGAAAGAAACAGCACGATGAGTACCATAGAAAACACAGTTAATTTGACAACAGCAATAATATCATCTATGACTACCTTTTAACAGGTAGTTCTTTTAATATTTCTGTTAGTATTTGCCTGTATCAGCATGAAATGCCACATATATATACACACAAAAAGACATAGTTATGTAATTCATAAATCGCATGCTGTTTCTACAGAGAATGTTTATTATACTCAACAGAATTATCAGGACTTGAGACAGAATTCTTATCCTCTTTATTGAAAAAAAATCCATATAGCATACTCTTCAAACTTTGTTTTCTCACCTATTTTATGATACTAACTTTTGAATGAAACTGAGTTTTAAGAGTTTTAAATTTCACTAGTGATTAAAAAGAGTAACTTCAGTTAAGATCAGAGTATTAATTAGCACAGTTTCTGCCACTCGTTTTTATTAATAAGGTAATTACAACAACCACACTTGTTACCATGAAATAGTTGTTCTATCACTCTCCATTGCATTCAGAATACTTGGACTTGTGCTGATACAATGTTTGTATAGATACTTAATACATTAATATCACTGGTGTAATTTAATTCAGATTTAAATGGCCTGCACCTTTGCTGCATATTGCTATGGTGGTTATAAAAGTTTTTATATTACAACAGCTACTGACATATTTAGTTGTAACAATATTGAGAAAAAGGTGAAATTATCTAAAAGTATTCTTCTTGTAACACTTTGAGAAAAAAATGTTTCCTAAAACACATAATCAAAAAAATTTAGTATGCTGTTTCCTTATAACACTTTAATCTTCACTTAAGATTTGTCTAGGTCCAAAATCTAAGTCCTAGCTACACGTTTGAGTATATGTAATGTTAATTGATTATGATCAGGTCAAGAATATTGACATCTACTGTAATTCTCTTCAAACACCATCCTGGACCAGACCCCTCTGCTGCTTTATAAAAGCAGGAAAGTATTCTTCTCAACTGATTGTGTCTGCCAAGTAAGAACTCGGCACACACAGCTGTATCTAAGATAGTCTTCATTTTCATAGGGATTCAGGTCTAAATTCAATGAGCTTAAACTATATTTAAAAAAAAAAAACAAACAAACACGAAATTAGCAGTGAGATTTTCCTCTTTTATTTTTGGTAATGAAGTAGCATGAAAGATTTTCCTGAGAAGTATAAAAAATAGTCTTGCTATATAAGTTGCTAACTTTATTTTTTAGAGGCTCAGTAGTTAAAATTGATGGAAGCCTTTGTTTATTTGTCATTTATCTGCTTTTAAATACTTACAGTGAAAAATACGGAAATCAATGTATGGATGAGAACCTCTTCTCTCTGTTTCAAATCCTGCCCGACTTCTTACTCGCACATCTCCTAGAAACAGGGTCAAGAGTGAAATAAAAGTGTGGAAGAGTGGCAGAGATACAATGCAAATGAACATAGCCTGGAGGGGTAAAGATTCATGTACTTAAAGGAGGAGGGTTATTCAAACAAGAGGCCTATTTCAATGCTTTTTGTTTTAAAGGTGAAATTCAAAACAAAGTTTGAAGACTTGTTAAACATGCAATCGCATGCTTTCTCGTCAAACTCTCTCCTGCCTAAGCATATGTTGCCAGAAGCATGTGATAAGCATTCAGATGAAATTAGGAACAGCTTGCTACACCGGTATGGTAAAAAAATGCACCTTAATATGACAGGAAACAACAACATTAAAGGTTGACTTGTTCCTCAGTAACACACATAAAACGATAACATTTTGTACAGTACAAAAAAGATTCGGCTTCTAGAAATGGTAGCTTTTAGCAAATAAGCTAGTTACAATATGGTTTATATTACATAATAGAATATTTTCCCACTAGCATTTACTTACTTGTGCTCAGCTGTTTGAATATTACACAAGAGCCTATTAAAATACCAAAACTCAGTATTAAAATTTTATCAAACTATTTTGCACTGCAGTTAGTTTCAACCTGAATCTTTTAGCATGCTAGATGATTTCTACTTATGCATTTTACCAGCTGAAAGCTGATCAGTATTCTTTCATTAGGTAATCGTATGCATTAATGTAAGTAGTTCACCTGGATCAAAAGCTTTCACTTTAAATCCTTTAGCAGTTACAAATTTGGGCAAAACTTTGAGGATCAAATGCAATAATGTTTCCCTCCTCAAATCCTAAAAAAAAAGTGAAATTCAAGATGTAAAAGTGTTCTGGCTTCTAATTATGAAAATCCTTCAAGTGTAGTATTCTCCTGTCTTTAAACACAGTGATTTTTCATTTGAACAGAAGGAACTAACACTGACGTTAAAAGAACAAAATAAAAATATAGCTATTTAATTTCCAGCAACTGATAATATTCTAACATCTTGTGAGTGCTTCTCCCTTTTCTTCTCCGACCTCCTAACTTGTAATGTTGAAGCAGGCAACTTAAGTGGGAAAACAGCTAGAGACATTGACTAAAACTTCAGTAATATACTTTTAATATTTAATAGGTATCTTTCTCGAGATAGATATCTATAAACACTGACATATCTATAGTAACACAATTCATATGAATGTTATCTTGTGAGGCACACTGGAAGGACCACAAAAAGATAAGTAGACCCAAGGCTCCCCAAATAACGAGTCTAAAGTTCACATATCAGTAAAAACATACCAAATACATGTGGTTTTCAGTTATTACTCCTTTTGGTTTTTCAAAACTGAAAGCCTTAACAGAGCTGCAAGGAAAGTTACCCAACCACTACCTGTAAATATTATTTTTCAGACCACTGACAATATGTTACTTATAAAGGTTTCAAGCATTCATCTGAGCGGAGTGCAAGAGGCTTGTCTTGTTCCAGGCAATACAGAGGCAGCAAATTGTAGAACTCTTCTGTTAGGCACAAGCAACTGGCGAATTTTATTTACAAAATAAATGAGTAAAAAGGAAAAAGGGAGGAAATCTTGGAAAAGAGGCGGCAAATAAATGCATTAGTAGCTGTGTGTGAAAATACCAATTTACACAGAGGAAAATGTGACTTTCATTACCTTTCACCCATATTTATCTGGGAAATCAGTCATAGTAAAGCTGTGTGAATGAGTTCACCAGCTGAATGAAAAGAAAAATAAGAGTTTTTTGTAGTTATTTTTTTATTTTTTATCTTTTACAAAAAAGGTGATATAACGTTCATGAACTATAGTTAGATTTCAAGGCAGTCTGAACTTTCAAAATTTACCAACCGTAACGTGAGTTACCAAATAGTTTCAGTCAATGTGCAACTAGGTTTTGGTGAACAATTTACTTGTTCAAAGTGTCAAGCATAGGAAGAGTTCACAGAAAAATACCTGAAGACTAACACGGATTCTGCAAATAACAAAACAAGCAGGTTCATCTGATAAATGATACCCAGAAAATTTCTCCCTGCTTTGTTCTTTTATTTATTTACAAGTACCCAGTCTAACAGCATAGACAGAATAACACTATCCCTGTTACCCTTAAAATGCCCACAATGTTGTGGAATCTGGAGTAGGAAAATAAGAAAAACTGTCTACAGGTGAAATGCAGTGCAACTAACTACATTGCTTTTAATAGTAATTATTAGAACATATTTACAGGAATAGTTAGCCAAAAGAAGAAATGATTTACTAAAAATGCACACGGCAAACTATTAGAAAGGCAACTGTAATAAGATAACAGTAAAATGAGGGTATTTATTTGCATACGTATGAAATGAGAAGTTCTCAGAAAAGAAAGAAAAATATTTTCATTGAGTAGTTGTTAAAATTCTGTCTCCTTGATCAGGGTAGCAGCAGAGGGTATTTTAAGAGTCAAGGTCTCAAAAATGGATGAATTTTTTTAGAATATATTTGGATTTATTCTGGAAAGAGATATCACTTCTACAGGACAGGAATTTAGCACAGTAAACAAAGTAGAAATTCCTATTGGGCCAAAATGAAGGCAGAAGAGCTGTCTCCATAATCATTGTATGGAACTACTGCATTTTTCAAGATTTCAGACAACAAATGTGCTTGGAAAAATTGGTACAAGTGGAATTTGAAGATACCATACATTTATTTGAAGTGTCTATGTGTATAGAAGCACAAAAAGGAACAGCATCAGACTGGCTGCATGTTATTGCATTATGAAATGATGTGCTATTAGCCCAGTGAGACTAATCTCTACTGCATATGTATATTGAGGCCCCAAACATCCAGAAATACTGGACCATCGTTATGCATTCACTGTTCAGTTAATCTGGCCTGCAAAGATCAATAGATCCCAAATGAACCCACGTCATCATGCCTGCACACAACATAACATATTTGCATCGATTTGCTTGGGAAATTCTGCACAAGCTTTTTTATAACTCTATGACTCTGAAATGACACAGAATTGAATTTTAAGGAGGAGACATGCTTATCATCAGAGGTAAAGGCACATGACATTTCAGATTTAAGGCTAGTTTTCTACGACAAAAGGACACTGTTACATAATTCCTTCAAACAGCAACAGAAGTCCAACCTCAGGGCCAATCATTTGCATGGTAGCTGAAAGATAATTAAAATTCAACACCTATAACAAAAGAACTTATGCATAGTTTTTGTTTATTTAGACCTTTTAAAAAAATATCAAAGTAGTTACAAAATCTTTTGAAACCATCAGATCACACCATTTGCTTATAGGTAAATTTCCTTGGGCGGGGGGGGGGGGGGGCAGAAGTGGTAGCAAGCTGACAGTTTTCATCTTAAGTGTCTCTTCTTTAGCCACTCTGAAGAGACTCCTCTGTTTCCTTAGGGGAACACATTCAAGTCCAGCATCTTAATAACAGTGGAACAATTTCCAGGAACAATTTTTTCCTCTTTGAGAGTTTCTGTGAATCCAAAGAATCAAGAGAAAGATTTAAAAAATGTGAAGCCTTCCTTTCAAAGCCTGATTTTGTGCACAAACACAACAAAATATCTGTTGGCTGAGTATTTAACTAGCTTTTTTTTCCAGAATAGTTCTGTGTGACCAGGATTGCTTGCGTTTTTAAGACAAAGGCCACACAGGCAGAAACTCAACTGAAAACTGAAGAAACAGTGGAAGAAGGAATGTAAGAGGGAGGTTTGCAGCTACAACTGAAAACTGAAAAGGAATCAGGACTGTAACAAAACTTACCTTAAGACATAGTTCCTAGCCCTCTCTCAGATTCCTGCTCACACCGCAAGGACAGCTCCGATACTTACGGGGCAGCTGAAATGCCATAGCTGACATCCCTGTGCGTTAGGGTTACACAGCACATACTTCGTGCTACCCTAATACTCCAGTGTGGCACAGTAACAATGCAGCAGCTGCTTGGGGAGCTGAGGCCTTCTGGAGCAGGGGCAGAAATCTCAGAGATCGCGGAGGACAGCTGGGAGCAGAAATTATGACAACCACCTCAAGGTAAACCACCCAAGTCATGAAGTTGTGAAGAGCAGGATTTCCAGAAAGAATTACTAGCTTCATAGATTAAAGTTCCTATTATATTTGTTGAAGAAACAGATGACAGGTCAGCCAAATATGCCAGAATTAAAGCAAAAGGAATACAACAAAACAACTGCTACCGGAGAAGAGCGTGCACCTGCATTACGCAGTAGCTTGCCTCCACTGTTTCCTATTTAAAGTGATCAAGACCTCTAAAGGAAGGTAAAATGTTCCAGTTTTAGTTGAGAGGT